TTTCGAAATTGTTTACCATATAAGATATCAAAAATTAATTGCTCTTCCTCGATGTACAAGTTATAAAACTGGCAAAGGGGAAGATAAGAGCAACAGTTAATTAACACTAGTCGCATTATCCATTGCCGAAACAAATGTCCGGCTGGTCATCAACGCAGTTCTACCAGAACCTTCTTGCGATGTGTTCGAACCCGACGTAGCGACGAAAGTGGAAGGACATAAAGTATTCACATATTTTTTCTTAAAACCAACGGGTTTTCGAAGTCGTTAATCCACAAGGGCTTGCTTTTTTTCGCTTGTAGTCGCAGGAGAGCGGGACGGTCATAAAACTGTCGGTGCATCTAACTAAAGTGAGCTAGAGTCCCAAGGTCACGGTCTCTAGTTAAGCTATGGTTAGTTAGTGCTGTCTAGTTATCCAGTAATTATTGACAATAGGTTTCACCGCAAAATAATCTAAAATGCTCCGCTGCAAATTAAATCGCCATCGCCGATGAAATGACTTTATAATCACCCACAACATTGGCAAGCTGGAATTGTGAGATTTCGAAGGCTTGGTCATAACTCATGTTTTTGGCTGACATGGTATTCGAGCTCCTCCATACGAATTACACGTAACCAGTCGTCTGAAAATATGAGAATTTGGGGTAACTGCAGCCACTTATGTTCTTATTGACAAACGTCAGTTGATCTCTTTTAATAAAAAAGTGATATTACGATACGGATGAACGCACGGTCGAAATAGCTGCCAAGAGGTCTCTAAATGTAGGGTGATGCCGCGGTCTTTTAACACTGGTGCATACGAAGTCAGACGGTCATTTACCCGCTAGTAGAAACAAGTCTATAGAAGGATGAAAATTGCTAGAAAAGTGAGAATTGCCAACTCTGTGTTTCCTATATCTGTAAGTACTTGTACATAGGACGAAGGTTTTAAAAAGTCCTTTATCACTGGCTGTACCTGTGTACCTTAGTATCACTTATGGATCGGGGTTCTTCCTTTACCGAGGTTTAGACGTAGTCAGTTGCACTTTAGCCGGCAACAGCCTCCGCCGGAAATTTTGACAGCCCTAAGGATTGGGCTACGATTCAGGCAGGCCCCTGGTCGTCTACACTATGAATGCATGTTTTAAATGCTGTCGGCGTCTTGCAGAAATGTAAGCTTTACGACCGGAAACCATTGCCAAGTCTCTTTTGTCTTGGTGGGCGCAACCTGAATATGACCTCAGCCCATCTTTAGTTCGAACAACAAAAAAAACAATTTCACAGAAGAAACTTCACAAAAAGGCCAAAGGACTCAAGTTTAACAATTTTTTTAGCTCAAGAAAAGAAAAAAATGACAAAACACAGTTGTCGAAAGCCAAACAGACCTGGAGGATGGCCGACACCGGAGTTGCGCGAGAATAACAAAATGCAACATAAACTGATCACACACGTTTATTTTTGACTACTTGCGGGACGGATGTATGCAGTTTAACTGACAGAGGATGATTCATCCGACCTTCACCACCCATATCTTCGGCTGCCTTTTCCTCATCGTAGAGAACTTCGAATTCTCCCAATTGGTTTTCATCGATGGGTCTACAGTTTCTTACGTCTGGTATCACTCCTGCCGGTAATACAATGTTTAAAACGTCGTTTATCAATTTGTATTTCATAATTCGATCACTCGCCGTAGTCGAAGTAAGCGAGGGCGATGCGTTAACTTCTATTAGCCAAGGTTTCAGTTTATCGTCTATAATAATATCGTATCCGTAGCATTCGAAGCAGTGCCTGTCGTTGTTGATGACCTTGGCAACTGATCTTAACGAGTGATAAATCAACCAGTAGATTTCGTTAAATAATTTCGTTGCAACGTTTTTACCCCTTGTTCCTTCCAACCATTGTCGAAGGTTGCCAATGCTCCATTTCTCGCCGTGATTTGAATTGTATTCAGTGGCATGTTTCTGCACAGAAACATTAGTTAAATGGATAAACACATTGCCTAGGCCAGCTTCCTTTTTGTCATATCTTACTGTACAGAACCTACAAAAGCCTTGCTTATAAACATAGCACTTTAGAGGCCTGTAAGATGTCACTAGGACATACATACGTAGATCAAACTTTTTACCGCCGATCAGAAGAGGATTGTCAATGTAGCGCGAGATTACATAAGTTTCGCGAGGAACTTGTGGAAGGTGGCAGGTATCTCTGGAATAAACCGAATGGGTTTCCTTCGCCCATTTTTTAACTTGCGACAGACGATTCACTAAAAGAATTCCCTCTCCACGGGCTTTGCTGCTTGGCTTTAGGATCCATGTTAACCGAGGATTCTTTTTATATTCTTCTGCAAAAATCGTATAATCTTGTGGCAGCATATACGTTGTAGGAATAAAATCTAAGTACAAGTACCGTCCCTGGTCATCTTTTGCTGCCAAGATATTGGACTCCTTTTCCAAAACGCGACGGTAACGTTTTATATTTTTCACCATCAGGTCTTTGCGTGTCAGTTCAAACTGATTCGGAAAGTGGTTTATAATCTGAAAGTAAGTGGATGACATTAATCTCACCTGGTCATCGAGTAGACGTACTCCGCTTTCAGAATTAAAAATTGCCCTTGCGCTGGTGACGGAAGCCCAGAATATATTCCAGTGGTCATCTGAATCCACTTCAACCCACTTTCGCGCCTGGCAATTATTAACTATGACAGAGCTGTCCCAGTCGGAGGCGTAATATATCGGTGACATCGCCTGGGTGATCACCCAGTAACTTGCTTTTGCTAATAAATAAGAGACACTCAAGTTCAAAATGTTTTTGGATTTTCTTCTTATGGGGAACTATAATAGTCCTGAAAAGACGCCGGGAACTCGCAAATGGGCACAGCAACCAATTTGGGAGAAGCGTACGGAACCACACCCTAATGCGCGACAACCGGTAGACTCTAAGTTGACTTTCCGGGTTTATAACAGCCTAGTAAAACGCAGCTTCTCATTTTACTACTTTATATGAAGTGGATTGTGTCAGAGGAGTCCAGTTGCCTGCGTTATGTTGTACTTTTCCTCATGTTATTGCAGACTGTTCGAACAAGCCTCTTATTGATCCCTTCAAAGAAGATATATTTGGATTCGTGCTAGCTCCTATAACCAGAGTCGTTTAACAGATTTCCGCTACATTAATTTACAAATATATTTTTATTTTTTCGTCAGAGTTTAGCTTTTATAATTCTACTTATATAATGGTTTATTTTCTCGCTTTTTTTTTCATGGCTGTTCGAGATTTAATTGTTTAGATTTTACTCTACCTCATTTCAGTGCATCTTGCGAGCACGCGGAGTTCTTGGATAGCGTATCTTCCTTCCTATTAGTTCCGGTACTCCGATCTTCGTCTTCATTCGTTTTTTTCTGATCAATCCGCATACTATAAACCCACGGAAGGCTTCGAAATTATAGCATACATCCGAAGGGTGAAAATAAATTGGGGAATGCGAGTACAGAAGTGTTTATAATGATTAGACGAGGAAAAGTCATGAATAGGTATACATAATAATCAAACACAAGCCTAATTATGAATGCCAGGGTAATGTGGAGCTGAAGGTTACCATCAGGGAAGAGATTACACTGTGGTGTCCTCACAGGAATTGCAACCGATAGGCATATCCGTTTAAAGGGTAGGGTGGAGTTGGAGGCTGCCACCAGGGAAGGGACAACAATATTGCACCTTAACTGCGACGGCACACTTTAATAATCCTTGACCGAAACTCGAAGAAGCCGTGTCCACCTATTTAAACAGGGAACAAT